AAACTGGATGAAAAATATATACTTTGCAGAGGGTTTTCTGTGTCATTTTTCTCTTCCATTGCAATGCTCAACAACTCTGCCTATAAGGGAGAAATTACAGGGGTAGCTTTTTACAGAAGTGGAAGTCCCCTAGAGACTTATCATTTGTCTGTATCATTCCTGAATTAAACTATGTGTAATTGGCTTCAGACACAAGTACAATGGGTTCAGCAGCAATCTCACCATTTGGCTGCAGACTAGGATTAGAAGGTTTCCCTCTACTGACCTTTTGTCCCTGGCTACCTGTCAAATCCCTAGCCTTTCTCTCTTCCCTTTTCCCTCTCGATGTCTTTCCTTCTCAGAAACTGAGATGTATACAAGTGAATCTGGGCTGCTGGCGAGAAGCAAAAAAAGGTGGAGGAACCCTGTGTTTTTCAGAAAAAAAACGTGTGTGGAAGGAAATAGAAGAAAGTACTGCATGTTTGAAGGGACATGAGGAAGATCTGCCTTTAATAATATGAAAATAGAGGACACATCTGTATAGTCTCCAAAGTCCCTATGCTTTCCAAGGGCTCCTTTAACCACTGTGGTGCAGTTTGGGTACGTGCATACACTGATCTTTCAGTAAACCAGTGGTCCTACAGTGCCTGGCTGAGCTTGTCTTCATCACTAAAGAAAAGCTTGATCTGAAGGGTCCTACATCATGTGCAGAATAAGCTAATACATGCAGTCTCATGAAAACCCACACACTTCTATCCCAGTATAGGAACTTTTATATCCTATAGACCTGCACTGGGAAACTTGTAACCTACTTTCAGTTTTATATTCTGCAAAATACAGCACAAAAATCTCAGGTCAGAATAAAGCATATCCAGTAGGTTACACTGAGTCTCGTAACAGCTACTTTAACACTTTGTTTTTGCAAATCTTTGAAAGGCTTTTTATGACCTCAAAGCAAGGCAGGAAATTCAAAAGCCACAGTGTTGCTGCAGTGAGGATTTTCTACCTTCCTATCAGTTCTGATTACATGGTGTCTCAAAACAGGTGCTTTCCTTCTCAGAAGCCATGTAAGTTGCGAAAGACCTGGAAAATAAGTGTACCAAGCAGCTGCTTCTGTTGTTGAAAACTCACAGATTCACTTACAGTAATTTCCACTTGATTCTGTCTATGCTCTGCTGGAAGAAAAGCTAGGGAAAGGCGCTGTCTTGCATGCTAAAATCTTTTCTATATCTTATTTACACTGATATGAAATTATTATGAAACACTTGTCTTTGTCAGAAACAAAAATTTAAATTAGATTTGAAAGTTGCCTTGATTTTTAACATTTTTATACGAAGGAATTCTTAGGTCTCTATTTGGGAGTGCAAATTTCACTCTTAAGTGCAGCTGAGTGCACATTATAAGTTTTCCCAGGATACTTTGCTCTTCCTACCCGCTTCCACTGGGTCTTTTGAATCCAAGTATCACATTCATAGCTTCTAAAAATCCTTCCTTTGGATTTTTGGTTGAATTGTTTTTTTGTTTTTTTTTCTTTAGTATATTAAAAGTTTGATTATTTTTTTAAATTATATCAGTGTGTAGGACCAGTGAACAAAAAGCCCTATCAATTTACATTTGCAATTTAATTGTAAGATGGTTGTTCTCAAAGCTGCTTTAAATGTTTTCCCTTCAGCTGTGGAAAGCTATGGAAAGCTATGGAAAAATGACTACTGGATTACTGTTCTCTTATCCAAAATGAAATATTCCCTAAAGAAATATTGTCTCGTGTTTAGAACACTGCATTTTATCATCTTGAGAGACAGACACCCAGTCTGTCTTCCAGCTTCTATTCTGAAAAGATGAGCTTTACGACTTAGTCACGGGGCTGGACTTCCTATTGTCCTAAACCCTACTCAGTCATTTACATGAGTGCAATATGGATGCAGAGTGCTACCATACCAGAATGGTTGTACCGTATTGGTCTGAATATAAGGTGAGTTTATAAAAGACCAAAGCAGGGGATAGTAGTGGAAACATTCTACTTCTTGTGTGTCTAGATTGAAACCATCTCCTGTATTCCACACTTCCTCTGTTACCCTCAGCAATGCCTAATTTAGGCAGAAGATATGAAAATAAAACTGCATCTTGCTCTCAAAAGGTTGCTGAAAATTCTTTACTGGGGATCAAGCTGCCAGGCAATCCATCAGCAAGGCAGGTAGGCTGTGGGATTCCTGTAGGGCAGATCCCCTTTGGGAAGAGTGGCAGGGGAGCAATGCCTAATATTTACTTTCTGTAGTAGAAATAATCATTTAATTTCACTACTTTTCTGTCGTTTCTATTATGAGCATTTCCAGTACTAGGGGGATGGGCAGTACATGGTAGGTTGCAGCTTTTAAGGGAAAATGTGGCCCCTAGTTTCTAGATCTGTGAGTGCAATGAATCATTTTATTCTTTTTCTTAAAGACTTGTTCACAAAAGGTTTTTAAAGAAGGCAATGTTGTGTCTATAGCAGAATAAAGCAAGCATAATCTTTAGTGAACTGTTAAGGTGTTACATTTAAGACGAAAATATAAACATCTCAATCATGCTGTCTTTCAGTGAAATGGAGTAAATAATCTTTTACTCTACGAACGAATAAAGATTGCTGTAGCTTTCCTTTGGTTTTCTATCTTGCCTAAATCTGTAGTATCCCATGCTAAAACAAGTTATATACTCTTTTTTTTTTTTTTTTTTTCCCTTATGGATTTAATTAAAAAAAAAAGATTCAAGAAACTGTTCTCTACAGACCTCTAAGTTTAATGCTGATGTTACTCTTTTATAAGGTTCATTCAAGATAAAAATGCATTTAAAAAGTTCTTCTGTGTTGCAGATATTGGCAAAACATAATTCTAAAATTTCAACAATCTTGAATTTGTGAGAAAGTAACATTCTAATATGATATTGTTTCAATCATTTAGAGTTTAATTATTAAAGAACAAAGTATTAAGGAAAACTCTTGAACACCAACCTTATTTTGTCTCCCACTACACTTTGAAAAAAAGATTTCTAAATAAGTGACCATTGCCAACCTGAGCCAGAGGGCAGCATTCACCACGTTATGGTACACTGCAACTGATGAATCTCAGCTACGGCTTAACTCCTCTTTCTCTGTATGGTACCAATAAATGTATTGAAAAATGAATTGCCTCATATGGCCTAATGCAGAATCGTTAAGTGTGTAAATGACATTGCCATTAGTATTCAGTTATAAATACATTTGAATTTTAAACCGAACATATGCTACTTCTCTGCTTGAAACCAGCAACTTTTGCTTTCAGAAATCATGCTGCAGATCCAGACAAGCAATAATAATAATACTTAGCATTGAGAATGTCAAAGCTCAGAAAGGCAACAGTATCAATATCTCAATTTGATCCATTAGATACACATATTAAATAAGTTTCTTTGGTCCACACAGTGATCAAAACTGATACAAAAGTAAACTCCTGTGTCTTAACTGTGAAGGTGATTTAGTGTCTTACTTAGTACCTTGAATATTAATTCCAAAATCGGATTATTTTTTTCATGGTGGGTTTTTTTTTTTTTTTTTTCCTACAAAGCTGTTATTCTCTTTTTTCCTCCTTTGATTATATTTAAGATCATCTGTCTCAGATTAGAATCAAGTTCTTGTAGCCAATTTAGGCTAGAGAATTTCTTGAGCATTCATTTATTAGTAACTCCACTTTTGTGGTCCCTTCCCTCATGTCCCTCTCTTAGTGATTTTTTCTAATAAAATATTTTTCATCAGATCAGAAATGTTGGAAAGAACTGAAAGCATTTCTTGGTTCCCAGACACATTCAAAGTACCTTATTATTTATTAATTGTTATTATTATTTAAGATGGAACCACAAATAAGATAAACACATTTAAAAATAATAAAAATGAGTAATGAAACACTTGTCTGCTTCATTTGGCAAAGAATAAGTCTGAGGCTATTATCAAATACCAGGCATGAGTAGAAGAGAAAGTGAGAGAGAAGGAGGCGAATTTAATTATTATGTAGGGGTGGGGATGCTGTGCAACAATGGGTTTAGCCACAAAGTCAAATCCTGGAGTATAACTATGCTGACTCCAGGGGAAATTTTCTTATCTGCTTTACCTGGTAGAATCTAGCGCTTGCTGAGCTGATTTTGAGAGAACGCCTTCAGGTTTGAAAGAGGATTTCTGAAATGAAAACATGACCAGAAGTTCACAGATTATGATGTTGAGAGAGGTTTCACTGTGTTTTATTTCACAAAAAACAGCTAAAATTACTTTGAACCTATTTGCAGCTCACTGTTGACCATCACTTTGAAATTTAAGAAAAAAAAACATATTTCATGATTTTTTTTCTAACTCACACGTAAAACAATGGGGTCCCATGGGAAAGTGAGCCTGCTGCCTTTAAAGGAGCACATGCCACTGCAAGAAATAAAGCATGAAAGGAAGCAGTGGTGTGCAAATCAAAATAAACCATTTACCTTTATCACTGACTATGTGCTTGGGGAAGAACAGACCATAGAGGAAGAACTGAGACCTTTCTTCAGTTTCTGAAGACAGCTACTTTCCCTCTAGATGAGAAAGAAATTCAGTTTTAATGATGGTAGCTGTAGCCTTCCACTGAATGACCTTAATTTTCGTGATCAATATAGGCAGGTGGCAACAATGCTTTCTCCAAGTAACTAATTGCTCAAGATTAAGAATCGATTGCTTTGTTTTATTAACTCTCTTCACTGCTGCTTGGGATTCTTCACTTCTTCTCAGCTAACGGAATGAGTTCCTGGATTGGTCAGCTGTTTTTTCCTTCCTCCATCTCACCCTTAAGGTTCACTGACCAAGGAAAAGGTCCACCCACATCATTCTCTTTGCCCAACAGACTTAAATTGATTTCTGGTTAGCAATATGATTGAGTTTACCTTGGTATTTTTTAGGGATTGTTTTTGTTTGGTTAGTTTTTAATGCTTGTGTTTTCAATCCACTGTCACCTTGCACTCATTTGGTTTTGGTTTTATTCATCCTACAGGTGGCTGCACCCAAAGGACATAACTTCACCTGAAGCTGTAAGCAATGAGACCTAAGCTTAGGTAAGAGAATCTGAAAAGAAACCGGGATTCTACTGTGGGAGAGTTAAATTGGACTTTTTATTATTTTCTTTTATTCTTTTCTTAGAGCATTTATGATCAAGTTGAGATTAAGTTAGGCCCTTCTAAACTCCACATATGTATTTATCCACTAAATTAACTTGAATTATTTCTATTTTTGGCAATTTTCACTGCTGGTAATTAATGCAATGCCTACTGTAAGTTCTCTGAGCCTGCAAGTTAGCCCAGGACACAGGCTCAGATACCAACATTGCAGTGTGACATGCCGCCACTTAAGCACTTGATTATACGTATGGTGACAAGGACCCACATTGTGCCCTTTGTAAAAGTTTCAAGGAAACGTGAAATCCCACTGACTTGGCTGCCAATGGAACTTTGCCAGGTGGTGGGATGCATGAGGCAAGCGAGAGGGGTGGCTCCTAGTGCTGCTTGTGCACTAAGAGTAGCAATTAAACACACTGCTTTTGAGAGATAGGTCAGTAAGTTTGGTGTTAAGGAGCTGAAAAGAGTGCTGTGTGGGGCTGAAAAGCTCTGCAGAGGTTCCTAATTAACCTTTTTCTGTGCTCCCCAACCTACTTGGATGATTGTACTTACCTGGGTACTGTGCTAATTTTGCAAGTAGTTATTCTTTCCTCTGGCATGTTTATTCTGTATTCACCTCTCAGGCTGCATGGATGCAACTGAGTAACAATGAAGCTGCAGGGATTTTTCAGCATGAATGAAATAATCTCTCCTGGTGTTCCATCAGTGGTCTTATTAAATAACTTTGATTTAAATACTGGTTTAGTGGTAAATGCAGGCAAATATTATAATGAAATTGAGCCTTACACATAAATGCATACTGCACTCATTTTGTGTGTCATGTGATGTCTGCACTTAACTGTAGTTTTGTAGTAATGAAGAGCAATCTCTGAGTCACTGGACAGGGACAACTGGACAGCCAGTGAGTTTAGGTGTAAATGTAGGCCTTGAATTCTTTCTGAAGAAGTTTTACAGTTTTGTGTAAGCTACATTAGTACTCTCTTTAGATTGCTTATTAATAGCATCTTGCTGTAATTTCATTTTCAATATATTTGAGTTTCCTTGTGTTAATAGAAGAAAAAGTGTCTTTACATAAGTTTATTTAGAAGCTCAAAGAATATGTATTAATTGCGTGCCAAGAAAGTAAATATTACAGCTGAAAACGAATTTGTAAAATTTTCAGTGTAGTTGACAATTGGTATTGTATATAACCATTGCTTAGGAGATCGAGGCAATGTGATTTGTACTTCTTTTGTCTCTGCTATAAAATTTGGAGGAATAACAGCAATGTGTCTGATGGAATATCTATAGTGAAGTCATGCTACAAGCTATGTAAGGCAGTAAGAGACACATGTGAATTTAAAATAGAATAGTGAGTAATCACTTAGCTTACTTCTTTCCAACATTGTATGGATATGTAATGAAGATTCATCTTTTTGAAACAACTATTTGTCTTCAGGAAAATGTGTCTCTTATGTGCTTAAAGAGAGATTTACTCTGTAATGCATGAAAGCTAGATGCACAAATGAAATATTTGTTTAGAAACTCTTATGGTAATTGCAGATATTCTACCTAATACTTTTAAAAGGAGTAAATATGATGAAGATTTTACACAGGTGATGGTTATCTAAAGGACACATAACGTAGGCTCCAACTGCGTTTGTAATAGTTCAGTTCTGTACGTGAAATATGTTCTCTACTTAAGAAAAGAATGAGAATATGAAATATGTTGTGTCTCAGTGATTCTTTGGATTTTCATTCTGTTGATCAGAGTGGAGAAAGTCATCCACCAGCTCTTTTTTTTTTTTTTTTTTTTTTTTTTTTAAAATTCCCAAACTCAATACTTTGCATACTACGTGGGGAGGCTGTATACGATTGTATCTTGCTAGTGGAATAAAATATTATAATCCCATTGCATTGTCAGTGAGGTAAAGTACATGATAACTTATTGTTTTAGTTTATCAGCAGGGTGGCCTAGTACACTGAATTCCCTTCTTCTGGTTTTGGCTTATATTCTGATTCCTGAGAGACACAACAAAGGAAAATTATAATAGCAGCAGTCTTTTTCTTTTTTTAATCTTAACATGAATATTGTAACGCTGGAGTTGCTCGAGGGAAAGGACAGTGGTTCTGTGTATCTCCTGAGCAGCACTGGCATTACATACTGTAGCCTAATTCTATAGTGAAAGTTTGATCTTGTGTGGTGATAATTGTGAAAGTAGTAAAAACACATTTGATAGTCATTCACCTCTAATTTAGTTATAATTGTTACCATACTTAAAGATCTCCCTAACTCAAGTCTACTCTGGGTACACAACTACCATAACTTTTAGTATTTTAGCTCTTGGAATGTGCCGTTCTAGACAACTCCTGTCAATTATTGTAAACATTTCCACAAAAGGGCAAAGGGTTCTGGATGTAATCTACAACATTTTTTTCTTCAGTCCAAGAAGAGCAGCCAAACCACCATGAGACGGAGTATTTTTTCAGAAAGAAGTCATAGGCTTCTTCTGCACTTCCTGTATCTGGTAGGACTGCAATTGTCTCCTATTTTGGCTTGGACAATCAGAAAGCAAACCCAAAGCATCAACTTTGCGTTATACTGCTCTGTATGGAAACACTTCCCTGCTACCAGTTAGGGGTTTAGCTCTGGTCATAGTGGTTAATTTTTGATGGAACCCCTTGTTAACACATCCACGGTACTTAACTAATAATAAGGAAATAAGCAAGATGACTCTCTGTTCTCAGTGCCCTCTTTTTCCCTGAGCTGCCGTGAAAGAAAAAATGTGAATTTTATAGGTAAGAAATGTATTCCCTCAGCTCTTTCTTGCACCTCTGAGGCAGAGGACTGAACAAATCATTGTGCAAAACCTTGCTGAGACATGCTCAAGAGGGCACAAGTACCCACACTAGAATCTCAGTCTAGGGCCCAGCATCTTTACTAGCAACTCAGGTTAAAAACCCTAAAGTTTGTGGTGGTTACAATCTCGAGATCTCATCCCTCGGAGCACTTGCCTTAAACATCATAGTGGTGTCCTTCAGCGTTCACAGCACCAGCTGCTCCTCCATCCCAACCTCCCCCCCCCCCTTAAAAGGAGCAGTGGGCCTGCTTCTGGGAAGGTCTTTAAAGATCAGCCTCACTGCAGTCCTGAAGTAGTAGTGGGGGGATCCTGTGCCATTCTGAGGCCACTGAGCAGCAGCAAAACTATATTCCTGAGTCTATAATAGATGCAAATTGTGCAGATGAAGGAGAGGAAGCTCTAACAGCCGTTGAATGCAATCTGTGAAAACTACTGTTTCATTTATAGTGATGCTACCTAAGCATTTGCACTTAAAAGGAACAATAAAGAGGTGTCAGAACAATCTCAAGGCTGCAGAATTTAAACAGCAGCAAAGACATTTTGAGCCATATGAAATGTTGCCTGCATCTGCTTTTTCTGTTAGTTTTTGTTTTTACTGAAGACTGTTCTAGTTCTCCTTGTTTTATGACACTGAATGGTTCACTTGCCTTCAAAGACCCAAGATGCAAAGAAGTCGGGAAACAAATTAAGTCCAAACTGCAGTAACTGGTGAAAACTGCACAAAGTATGTCACAGCTCTTCTTTCTCTATTTAGTTTTGAAGTAGTTCTGCAATACAACCTTAGATGGTTGATTCATGAACTTGCCAGCCAACCTCTAGCAGATAGCTGTAGAGTTACTGTAATGTTTCAGTGTTTATCTTGCTTAAGGGACAAAGGGCCTATCCTCAGATGATGGAGTCTTTGTAGGTATGCGCATACGATTCTGAGGATCTGAGCTGCTGAGGATCTGAGCTGCTGTTGCTCTTTAATCTTCTGATTTGGAGATAAGAATTTGGCATAAGTGAGACACTGCAAACTGAAAGAAAAAAAAAAACTGCAAAAGAAATACCTAATGGCTGTCAAACAACAAAAAGTTACTGATTAACAAAGAATACAGGGCTTACAATTAGTGCCCTGTTAAAAGCACAAAAAGCTGTGATTGTGAGTCTGATTATCTATGCTACCACTTAACAGCTGCAAATGTGAAAGCAGTGTGTGTCAAGGAAAACAAGGAAACAAGTATTCTGTGATATCACAACAGGTGTTTTAGGTGCACTAATTTTGCTCAGAAAGAGCAGATAACTTTTGGGAAGGAATAGTCTAAAAGGAGATAGTTTGTTCCTATTGATACTTTCCTTATTTTTGAAGTAGTAGAACTATATGAACATTAGAATAAGATTGGCTTTGTAGCTACAGCAGAATAAAATGCATTATAGCATTGGCTGTCATTTGGAATGTTTGAGAGACTTCATAGGGGATACTGTTACCTGATTTTTATTAATATAATTCATTTGAATACCATTAGTGTTCAGAGGACCTTATTGAGACTCATTCATAGTAATCTAGCCATGTACCAAAGATCTCACAGTTTAAAAAGACAAGATAAGCAAATTGCAGGTAAATGTCCCTTAGCTGAAGACAATTCTGGCTGGCTAACTCCTTGTCCTGTATTAGTTTCTTTACCCTCTTCACTAAAATGAGAGTGTGCTGTTCTAATCTTTCAGAAAATTACAGCATAATTAATGATAGTAAAATGCTTTAAGAGCCTTCTTACTGATGTATCAGAAGTTCAAAGCGGTAGAATTTTTCATATAATATGGATTTGAACTGCATAAGTCTTTTGAATTGGTAACTTTTAGTAAGAAATGTATTTCCCAGGGAGATGGAGCAAAAGTATTTGTTTTAATAGTTCTCTCTGCGTGTGTCTGTACATGTGAGCGAACAAGAGATCATGCAGGGCAAAACATACCATAAATGCTGTAAAGTCTCATACAATTGTGTCAAGCAGTAAACCCAAATGAACTTGCAAAGTCATGCACTAGCTCAATTTTGGAAAGGAAAAGCTGGCTTTGAAGCCAACTAAATCAATCCCCAGTTCAAATTAAATTTGGAGTATCCTG